TCTCGCGCCCGCCATCCCCCGGCAGGCGCTGGTCCGGGTGTGCAGGTGCCAAGCCGGAGTCCAAGGCCTCAGAGGCCGTCTCTCCTGCCGCAGTGTCTGCCTCAAGTTCCGCCTCCAGAGCCGCTTCGGACCTAGGTGCCTCCCCGGGCTCGGGCTCAGCGGGCGGCTGGGTGGGCACCTGCTCGGGAAGCAGCGCTGGCTGTTCCTCGGCTGCCACCGCACAGGCATCCCCACCGTTTAGGGCTGTGGGGGCCCCCGCGGGGATCTTTTCTGGAGGAACAGGGCTTTCTTCCACAGCTTCCGGCTCAACATCGGAAACATCTTTAGTCTGAAGTGGAAGCTCGGGCAGTGAGAAGGGCCCCAGGTCCAGGTCGTCCTCAGGGCTTGTGAAGCCATCGGGCCAGGGGACGGGCTCCACCGGGCCGAGGGCTGCCAGGCTGTGGCCACCGTCCAGGAAGGTGTTCTCTAAGGGTCCCAGAGCCTCCACCGGAGCCACGGCGGTCACGCACGCAGGCTCGGGGGCCACGTCCAGGGCCGCGTCCGGAAGTGTCTTGCAGGTGAAGAAGGGCTCCAGCCTGGAAGGGGGGGCACAAGGGGCAGCTTCTGCCACAGGGAGGGCAGGGGTCACGGCCACCTCGTCCCTGACCTCCTCCAGGCCTGGCTCGGCGGCCGGCAGAGGGTACGACACAGGAGAGACGGGGTATGGGGGCTCAGGAGTGAAGGGCCCCGGGACGGCGGGGTGCAGAGACTCTGTGGGGCAGAGCTGCTCGGGGGGCTCTGGGGACTGCTGTGGGGACTTAAGCAGGAGCTCTGAGCCCAGGGGCCAGCTGACAGGGTTCTCGGGGGTGCTCCCGATGAGGCTGGCGGGAAGGGCCTGCTCAGTGGCGCTGGCAGGGTGGGCCCATTCGGCGGGCTCCTCAGTGATAACCGTGCTGAACGGGCCTTCCTCCAGGGGCTCCAGGTAGCTGGGCTCTGGGGGGATGATGGCCGCAGTGGCCTGCTGGGCCTCAGCAGCATCCAGGGGAAGGCCCAGGTCGGGGGGCAAGGCTCCTTCCATGGAGGGGGCCAACAGCTCAGCGCGGGGAGAAGGGGAGGCTTTTGCCTGTAAGCTGAAGACGCCTTCTGGGGACGAGGTGACGGTGACCACAGCTGCAGGCGGGCAGTGCAGGGCCTCCACTCTGGGTGAGGGGAGGCCGTAGTCCGGAGAGCAGTACCCTGGGGACAAGCAGGCAAATCTCTCCGCAGGCGGCGTGGGCCCAGGTGCCTTGTCATCAGCCGTGTGCTGCCCCGGGGAGCCGAAGCTAGAGGCTGCGGGGACGCTCTGCTGCCTGAACAGCTTGTCCCCCACACTGAGCTCCTCCTCCGGGGTCCTCCTGACATCCATGGAGACCGAGCGGTAGAGGCTTGTGGAGAGAGGCCTGGCGGGCGTGTGGCTCGCAGTGTCGGAGAGCCCGCTGGGCGCCACGGCGAACCTGTCGAAGAAGGAGGGGGAGCAGGCGCTGGCAGGCGTGCCGGCAGGGGGCGCTGAGTGCTGGGGGTCAGCGCAGTCGAACGTGAGGTCAGGGTAGTCGTCGGCGCTGCAGGATGGTGTGCGGGGTGTATGCATCACCTCCTCGTAGCTGGGGCAGGACACCACCGGCGTGGGGGCAGGCACCCCCGTGGGCCGGGGGGACGCGGGCAGGCCCTCCTTGGTGAGAGGCCCGTCCTTGGTGGGCGGTCCCTCCTTGGTGGGAGGCCCTGCTGGCCAGTCTTTGGGCTCTGCGCCCAGCTTGCCTTCGGCGGCAGGCGGGGCAGGCGTCAGCTCCCTGAGCTTCCTGTCCTTACAGGCAAGGTCCGGTGCCAGTGGCTTCTTGGAGGGGGCATCCAGGCTCTTCTTGCGCCCCTCGTCCCCGGGCCTCGCCCGCTCCCTGGGCCCGGGGCCCCCCGCCCGGGGCCGCATCCTCTCCATCTGCTTCATGCGCTCCTTGTGCCTCTTGTGACGCTCCTCGACCTCCAGGTCCTTCTGCGAGAGCATCCGCTCGAAGCTGGTCATCATCAGGTCCCCGTCCCCCAGGAGCTTCTCTCGGGGCCTGGTGTCCTTCCTGCCCACGTCCCTGGGCGGCACCCGGTCGCCACCATTGCTGAGCCGTGCCGAGTCGCCCTTCTCCTTCTCCACGCCCTCCTTGGGCTTCTCCTTGGCCTTGGCCTCACCGGGCTTGGCCTCGCCGGCCTTCTCCTTGAAGGAGCTGGCTGGGACGTCCCGCTCTCGGGCCGCAGGCTTCTCGTCCTTGTGGGGCCGCGGGGCCGCGTCGGCATGCTTGTCCCGGTGCTTCTCCCTCTCGTCCCTCCACTTCTCGCGGTGCTTCTCCCTCCTCCTCTTCTCTTTGGCGGCGCTGCTGGGGCCCGGGCCGTACGGCTTCAGCTCCTTGTCTACCTTCCTGGAAGCCTCCCGCTCGGCAGAGGGCAGCTCGGCGGCTTTGTCCGGGTCCTCCTCCACATCGGCCTTGGTGCCATAGGAGAGCCCGAAGGCGTCGGGGCCCGGGAGGTCCTTGTCATCGCCCTTCTCTCTCCTCTCGGCCTTCTCCTTCCGGACCCTCTCCCGGTCGTGGCTCTTCTTGGACGAGGACGAGGTGTGCCTCAGCCTCTCCCGCTCCTTCAGCCTCTCCGGGAGGCCGCCCTCTTTCGCTCTGTCCTCGGCTGGCGGCTCCGAGAAGGACACCTCCAGGAGGGCGCTGAGGCCCGGGTCCTGGCCCCGGTCGGTGAAGCTGTCGGAGGAGACCTCGCTGCCCTTATCATTGGGGTCCTCCCGGAAGTCGTGCAGTGCCTCCTCCTCCAGCCTCTCCAGCAGGCTCTTCTCCGCCTCGGCGCCCCGCGAGGCCCCCCTCTCCCTGCAGTGCTCCGTGTCGGGCCTCTCCTTGTACCTGCCCTTGACCTTCTCCTCCACGCAGCGCTTCTTCTCGGCCTTCTCGGGGGCCTTCTGCCTGCCTTTCTTCTCCGGGGCGGAGTCGACGGACGCGCGCCCCCGCCTGTCCCTGTACTTCTCCGCGGGCTCCTTCTCCCTCTTCTCTCTGTGCTTGTCCATGGCCCTGTCCCTCCTGTCCTTCCTCTTCTCCTTGGGGTCCTTCTCTCTCTGCCTCTCCGAGTGCGGCTTGTCCAAGGAGCCCTTCCGGTGCCTATCGGACGCATAGAGCGCCCTGCCCTCCTCTCTCTCTGGGAGGCCGTCCAGCCTCTGCAGCTCGCTGGTCTCCCCTGTCTTGAACCCGCTCGTCAGGTAATCGTCTTTGTCGTCCTCGCTCTCGTCCGTGAATATGTCCGCGATGTACCAGCTCTTCTCTTTGCCTTTCCTGTCGTCTTTCTTTTCGGAGAAGTCCTCCGAGAGGATCCCAGGGAAGCCCTTGTCTTTCTTGTCTCTGGCCTGGTCAAGCGATGCCTTCCTCTCTCTGTCCTTGCCGTGTGCATCCTTATGCTTTTCCTTGCTGTCTTTCTTCTCCTTGAAACATTTCTCGAAGTCTTTCTCCCGCGGACACTTCTCCAGAACAGCCTTCTCGGCCCTGTCCCTGTCGGCGGACTTGTCCCTGCACCTCTCCGACTTGGCCCTCTCCCGCCTGTCTCTGTCGAGGCTGTCCCTCTTCTCCTTCTCTCTTGCTGGGTGGTGCCTCTCCCACGGCTCCAGGCCCTTGCCGAAGTCGCAGTCGGCCTTGTCCTTGAAGGCGTGCTCACAGCCGAGCTCCTTCGTGTCCTCCCGGGGCGCCTCCTCCTTGGCCCGGCCGTCCCGCCGCTCCCGGCCGCTCTCTAGGGCGTCCTTCCGGTCGCGCCCGCCATCGGCAGACTCACGCCTCTTCTTGTCCCGCTCAGGGAGGTGGCCGGGAGGGCCTCTGTCTCGCCTCTTCTCGGCGCCCCTGTCCGCACAGTCCCGGTCCCTCTTTCTGAACAGGGTGTCCCTGTGGTCCCGCCTGTCCCGGGCCTTGCCCTCCCGCCTCTTCTCCTTGCTGTCCTCTCGCACTGTCTCCAGGATGAGTTTGGCCACAGAGTCGCTCTTCAGGTCCCTGTAGTCAGTCACCGGCGAGTCCCAGCTGTCGTCCTCTCTGAAATCGAAGGACGAGTCGGACAGGTCGGAGAACCACCTGTCGTGCTGGTCGTCGGAGAGGCTGCATTTGGTGTCCTCGCTGTCCAGGAACTGGCCTCTGTTACAGAGCTCGTCCAAGACGGGGTCTTCCCTGTACAGCTTCTCCTTCTTGGCTTTCTCTTTCTCGTCCTTGAAGTCCTTCTCCTTCTCCTTCAGAACCCTGTCCTCTTTGCCATCGCTCTTCTTCTCCGACTTAGAGGGCCGGTCTTTTGACTTCCTCTTCCGACCCTCTCGGCACAGCCGCAGCTTCTCCTCCCGCGGAGACCTCTCTTTGGCGGGCCTGTCCTTGTCCGCCTTGGGCGGCCGCTCTCTCTCTTCGCGGGAGGGCCTGCCAAGGTCCTTGCTCACGTCTCGGAGTCTCTTCAGCGCCTTTTCATCTTTGGAGACCTTCAGCAGCTCGTCTTTAAAAAGCCACTCTCTGTCCTCGGCCTTCCCCTTGCCGACCTTCTCCTCCCTCCTGAAGTGGTCTCGCTCGTGCCGCGGCACCTTGAGCTTGCTGTCGGCGGCACCGTCACTGTCCAGCAGGACAGCCTTATCGGGCTTCTGCTTGGCGTCCTCGTACTCGTAAGTGAAAGTTTTCAGTTTAAGTTCCTGGACCGAGCACTGGCCTTTCTCCTTGTTTTTGTGTTTGTGTTTCGTTTTGTGTTTTTTGATGACCTTCCCCTCCTTGTCCAGCTTGGGGATGGCGCCGTCCACGCTAGGGTGGAAGGAGCCCTTTCTCTCAGACAGGGCACTCTGCAGGACCCCCCGCTTCCGGGGCTCCTGCTTCTTCCTCATGGGCTTCAGCGCTTCCACGCTGGAGCCCTCGGAGGAGCAATCAGACTCGCTGGTCAGTCTCGTCCTTGTGGAGTCTGACAAGGAACTAGCCTCTGACCAGGCTGGGGAGGAGATAGTTTTCCAGTTGTCCGTGCGCCAGTGCTTGGCGTGCTGGTCCGCGTGGCTGGCATTATGCTTCTGGACCGCAGAGCTGCCATGGGACGAGGTGGAGGAGGCAGACAGGGAGCTGAACAGGGCAGGGTCCTTCAGCACCAGCGGGGACTCCTTGAGGCAGCCTGGGCTCCCCACGGAGTCCCCATCGTCGCCCTCGCTCTCCGAGGACTCGCTCTCCGACTCCGAGGGACAGAACTTGTCGCTCCTCTTCCCGAACCGCACCTCTTTACCTTTCGTGTCTTTCTTTCGCTTCTTTTTCACTTTGCTCTTCTCCTTCTGCTGCCTGGAGCTGGGGGGCTCCCGCGTCTTGTTACTGGGCAGCGTGGCATGTGCCGAGAGCCTCAGCTTCTCTCCTGCCCCCCCGGCGACGCCGGCACCCTCCTCGTCTGACGTGTCTGACAGGATGCGATGGGCCGCTCTCTTTGGCGCGATCGTGGTGTTTTTCGGGTAACTCCTCACCTCCATCTTGGGTATGGAGACAAAGCTGTTAGGCCTCGTCTCCTTCCTGTAGTCCTTCTTCAGCAAGTGCTTGTCGTCCACCGGGGGCACCCTGTCCTGCTCGTCGTCCTCATCGAACTCGTACTCGTCCTTGACGGGGGTCACAGTCTTCTGCGGCTCCGGGTTCTTGGCCTTGTGCTTCAGGCCCTTCTCGAACTCGGAGTCCGTGTTATTGCCGTCGACCGAGCTGGAGGGTGCAAACGACGGGGCATCTTCTTCTTCCGAGCTCTCTGCTGGGACAGAAGGGAGGTGTCAGGGCAGCGTCACAGCAGGCTGCAGAGAGGTGGGGTCAGCTCCAGCATGGACCACCCCACCCAGCCTCTGGACTCTGTGACGTCTGAGCAGACCGCCGGAGGAGGCCAGCGAGGGGCAGCGCAGGGACGGGCTGCATGCCCAGAGGCAGGTGGCAGGCCAGGGGCACACTGGGGCGGGGCTGGGAGCCGGGACGGTCCTGACCGCCGTGTGCAGGCCTGCAGGTGCAGCACCACGGGCCGCCCGCACTACTCACCGGTGGAGCTCTCCTCACTGGACGTGTATGTGCCCTTGCCCAGAAGGAGGTTCACCATTGTCGGGGAGCTGGCGACCTTCAGCGGCGTCTCGCCCTTCCTGTTGCTCTGCTGAGGGTTCCCGCCGTACCGCAGCAGCAGCTTCACCACCTACAACACAGGGGGGGACTGAGGGCCTGAGCGCCGCACGCCCGCAGCCCTGACCCCACCTGCAACAGCGCGGGACCGAGGCACAATGAGGGCCCTGTGAGAGCCGCACAGCCAGGCTCCTGACAGCACCTGCCTCCCCACCCCCTGGGACTCAGAGCAGCCTTGGGAGCCGTGCAATGTGGCAGCTGCCTGGCAAGGCCACTCTGCGTCTGTGCCAAGAGTGGTGGCTGTCCCCGCACTCCTCCCCAGCAACTGGACTGCTTCCCAGGAACCTTCTCGGAAAGGCTCTCCCCTCCTGCCACAGTGAGCTGGTCAGCACGCCGAGGCCACGCACAGCCCTGGCGGCCTGGGCGCAGGTCTCTGACCAGGGCGGCGGGCACACGAAGCAGAGAGGACGAAGGCCAGCTGCGGTGGGCGGGCGGACTCTTTATCTCCTTACACGGGAAGCAGATGGCCTCTCCTCTGCCGATCTCACACAGGTGAGGGCCGCATAAAACAGACAGCAAGGCGGTGCTTGATGGCCCCGCCAGCAGCCTGCGTCTGTTGCGCCCAGGATGGCGGTGCCTCGGACTCACGTGCACCCAGCCTGGGTCGCAAGCCTAGCTTCTGTCACGGCACCGAGCGAGCCTGTCGTGGTGCCACACATGAACTCTCCCACGTGTGTGCTCTCCAGTGAGCAGGTCGGGCTCTGTAGGGTCAGTACAGACCCTGGGTGTGATGCTCCTGCCGCCAAGCCGGGTCGCAGGACGGCCTCACGAGTCTGCCCTCTCCCAGGCCTGGACAGTCAGGGTGTCAGCCGGGCTGGCTCCTCCTCCATTACGTGGACTGTTGGAGAATTCCGTCCGAGGCCCCTGCTCCACCACACCCTGACCCTGTAAGGCAGTTATGTGGGCAAGGCCTTCCCGGCCGCCGTCTGTCCCGCTCCTCCATGTCTGACCAGCCAGGAAGGCCATCAGGACCCTGAGGAGCCAAGCCGATGCCCACAGGGTTAGGCAGCTGCCTACTGACAGGTGCCCGGGGGCTCGCAGGTCCTCTCGTGGTAAAAAGCTTACAGTGGTACCTGCAGAGGCATTGGAAATGACAGGCCGTCCTCCTGGCTCCCGCGGGTCTGTCACTCCCACCTGCCCCTCACCAAGTGCCACGTAAACCTTCCTAGGGAAAGTCTCCTAAAGACCCTTAAAAACGAACGACGTGCCGTCCTCTTACCCCGAGTGTGAGCAGATCTCCCGTCACAGGCACTGCTCGGTGCTCAGACCGTGCTGTACGCCTCGCAGCCTGCGGCCCACCCCCCGTAGCTCCGTGCCCTGGATGCAGGGCTCCTGACGTCTCTGGGAAGGCCAGGCAGGCCAGGCTACAGGAGGCTCGCGAGTACAAGCAGACGCAGCAACGTCTACCACGGGGGCCTTGCCACACCCACGATGTCCCACCTGCGGCCAGAGGCCTCACAGAGGCCCTGGTCATGATCTCGGGAAGACCTCGTCACTCTTGCCCTGTGCTCTGCGGGACGAGGCCTGTGGGCACAACCAGCGTGTCTCCGGTGCAGACCTGGACACGGCCCTTTCCCGAGCTGCTCCCTGGCCGCTCACTGCACGCTGCAGGCTGGCTGGGGCTCTCGGCCGTCGTGACCTGGGACTGCTCCATGTGGCCACAGACTTACAGCGCGTCCTACGGCCCTCCTTACTGCCGGGCACAGCCGCGTTCCAGACCCGCCATGTGCCACAGGGGCTGCTGACGTCTCGGGGAAGGCCAGGCAGGCCAGGCTACAGGAGGCTCGCGAGTACAAGCAGACGCAGCAACGTCTACCACGGGGGCCTTGCCACACCCACGATGTCCCACCTGCGGCCAGAGGCCTCACAGAGGCCCTGGTCATGATCTCGGGAAGACCTCGTCACTCTTGCCCTGTGCTCTGCGGGACGAGGCCTGTGGGCACAACCAGCGTGTCTCCGGTGCAGACCTGGACACGGCCCTTTCCCGAGCTGCTCCCTGGCCGCTCACTGCACGCTGCAGGCTGGCTGGGGCTCTCGGCCGTCGTGACCTGGGACTGCTCCATGTGGCCACAGACTTACAGCGCGTCCTACGGCCCTCCTTACTGCCGGGCACAGCCGCGTTCCAGACCCGCCATGTGCCACAGGGTGCTCCCACACACGTGCTTGGGGTGGTGCTTGTTCCAACCCAGAGAGGCCGCCTCGGGGCCAGCCTGGGCCCGGAATGCTGGGGGCAGGCAGGGCGGGCGGGGAGGAGGAATGTGCTTTCAGCATGTGGTGGGGCCGGGCCGGAGCAGAACATGGGTTACAGGAGGCCCGCAGTGGGGATGCCGACCTTGTAGTGCCCATTGTTGGCGGCGTCGTGCAGAGGCGTGTCATCGTCTAGGCCCTTGGTGTTCACCTCCGCGCCTGCGGCCAGCAGCTGCTTCGCCACGTCATAGTAGCCCCGGTTACAGGCCTCGTGCAGCGCCGTCCAGCCTGGAACAGACACTTAGGACATCCATGATCTGACCCACCAGAGCCTCGCGCCATCTCCGGGGCAGCTCTGAGGACACGGAGGATGATGGGAGCAGAGGCCGTGGCCAGGAGTGTCTCGGGTTCTCGGTGCTGTGGTGCCTCTTGCTTCTGCACGAACACCTAGCTTGTAACCCACGAGGGCGGGGCACCCCCAGACACCCTGAAAGAAACACGGAGTAACCTCATACCTACTCACCAGCCAGCGAGCACATGGGAAAAGCCTCCCATTTGGAAAATGGGGAGGCTGAGGCCCAGGTTCGACTTCAAGTTTCCCTAAAAAGCCAGGCATGACGGTGCATGCCTGTGGCCCCTGCTGCTCAGGAGGGTGCGACAGAGCAAGAGCTGCCTGCAAGACCCCATCCACACACCCTGGCAAAGGGAAGTGGCGGGGGGCAGGGTGGGGGTGCTGCTGAGGACAGCCCAGCCCGCTGCTGTGGCGGTGTCCCACACCCCAGGGCGGGCCATGGTGGCTGCTCCTGCTGGGAAGCCACAAGCTCACCAGCCACAGCCACCTAGGGCCCCACGGCAGAACCAGGCCGGCCTGCGTGCAGATCCCTGCCAGCCCGGAGCCTCCTGGCACTGCGGGCACACGGCTCTGGGGTGTGCGGACAAGGCTCCACGGTGCACTGTGAACGTTCCACGCCAGAAAACAGAGGCAGCCCTGAAGACCGAATTGTAGCTGTGAGGCAGACAAAGGCCCGGCCTGAGCTGGTCTGGGAGGCAGGCCCACTGTTTCTTAAGTTAAAGAGATGGGGTCAGCAGTCGGCATGATGGCTGTGTCTCTGGACTACCATGTAGCCGACCGCGGTTCGCGTCCCAGACCCGATGGCTTAAACTCATGCTGGGCGTGTGTGCGTGCGTGCCCAAGATCCCGAGAGAATGGAGAAGGGACTGTGGTGTGGTCCTCCCCCCGGGTGATCATTTCTCACTTTCTGTCTGTCTCTTTCTGGCGAATGCCTGCGCCCTGTAACAAAAACCTCTCCAGAAGAGGAGGAAGAAAAAAACGATGACTCCCAGTCGAGCCACCAGACCAGACCCTGCGAACTGTGGGGTGTCCTGGGTGTCCCAAGCACGGGTTTGCGGCACAGGGGCGCCCTCTGCTGGGAGATATGGCTACTTCCAACCCCTCTGGGCTTAGATCAGTTTACCTAACAGGGCAGAGTAAAAACTTGCAATTCCTATTTTCCTAAGGTTAACAAAAAGCAATGTTTATTTGAAATGCATCTCAAGGAACTACATCCTTGAAAACAGCAGATCACATGGGAAAACAGCAGACCACACAGGTGTGACTGTGAAGTCTACACACCCATGCCAACGGGCCCACACGTCCCAGGACCAGCAGAATGGGTCGGGGCTGCCAGGGCCTGGCCCGGTGGAGCTGGCCCCGCCCACGGCCCAGGGACCCGGCCGCTCACCTGCGAAGTCCTTGACGTTAACGTCGGCGCCCTCACTGATGAGCTCCCTGATGCGCCGGGCGTCCCCGCGGATGGCGGCCCTGTGCAGGCGGGTCTCGCCCCGCTCGTTCCTCTTGTTCACTTTGTCTTTGGTCTTGGAGGCGGAGGTGGGCGTCCCCTTCTGACACACTGCAGACTGGGACGGGTGCTTTGGCGTCGTGTCTACTGTGGGCCGAGGAGGGGATAGGCAGGCCTTACTTCGAGAACCGGCCATGGGCGGGGCGGGGGTGCCTCTGCATGGCTGTCCCCAGGCCCGGCTCTGAGGCTCACCTGGGCTGTTGGCGGACTCCTCAGCGGTCATCTGCATGAGAAGCGCCACCTGCTGGCGCTCGGAGAGGGGGTAGCCGGCACGGATCCCTGACAGCCCCATGCCGAACAGCAGCCCGGCCTTCCGGGTGGCCGGCTCCTTCTTAGCCCTCTTCCGCTCAGGACCCTGCTTCTCTGCAAGGGGGAAGAGAGGGATGGACGGGCTTTCACCCACGGGCTCAGAGCCCAGGCCTCGCCTAGCGTCCACCTGTGGGTTCTGTGAGAGGGAGATAGGGGCTGGGAGCCTCCCGCCCATCCTCCCCCACAGCAGCCATGGCGACACACGGGGGACACCTGGTAAGCTCCAGTCCAGCACGCCCAGCCAGGGCCTGCACAAGCAGTCACTCACGCTGGGTTAGGCTCTCAGAGTGGCCCACGCCTCACCCTACTGGACGTGGGCACAGTGGGGTGGCCCGGCATGGCCCGGCTCCCCTGCACAGGCCCCCAACGGAGCATCTGCAGTCACATCCTCTCCAACCCACACCACACGGCCCGATCGTGGCTGCACACAGCGTAAAGCCACATGGCAGACGCCGGAGAACACAGGCCATCGAGGCCGCTCGTTAGGAGGGCTCTTTTCTTCTCGCTCCTGGGAGTCTCCATTTCACGCCATGGTGAATGGAACCACCTGCAGCACCCACGCAGACACTGATGAGATGGGCCTCAGCCTCCTCGGGACCTGCAACCCCTCGGCTCGGCCGACCTGCACGGCATCCCTTTCAGCCCCGATGGAGACGGTGTGCGCTTTACACGGGCAGGGCGGGGAAAGCAGACACCCCACGCCTCGGAAACCCGAAGCTAAAACCTTGCGGTCCTCTCCTGCCCCACCAGCTGCCATCCTGGGAGAGCAGGACTGAAGCCTCTGAATGCCCCCCAGCCGTCCCGTGCCTTCCTGGTGAAGCCCCTGAGCAGGGCGAGCTGGACTCGGGGTCCCCAGGTCAAGGGGGCCAGATGGCAGGCCTGGGTCCATCAGCAGCTCTGCGAGGGCCCGACATGGTTAGCAGGGGCACTGTCTGGAGGGCAGACAGGCTGGCCAGAGGTCAGCCTGGTCACCGGGGACGACTGGCTCGCTCGGCTCAGCACACTCTCCCCACCTCGCTCGCCTACGTGGGGCTTTTTTTTTTTTAATTTACTTATTAAACTTTATGTATTATTGTTATTATTTTCCAGTTTAATCAGACAGACAGACAAAGAGAGGCAAAGTGAGAAAGCCAGCCACAAGGTTCGTGGGCCATATGGGAGTCCTTCACCACCACGCCACCTTCCAATGTCAGGCTGTCTGTTAAGTAACTGCAAGTTCTTCCTTTTAAGAGACTTTTTTTTTCTTTTTGCTATAGGGTACATGTGCTCGCTAGATAAAAAGCGAGAAGTCACTGCGGGAGATGGCCATACCACAATCCCTTATTCTCCATTCTCCCAGAATCTTGGGCATGCATGCACACAAGCCCAGTATGAGTTTGAAGCCGCTGGGTCCAGGACTCGAACCACAGGTGACTGCGTGGGACTCCAGTGACACAACTACCGCCCCACTGCTGGTTCCTGCCAGTTCTTTTAAAAGTATGAGGAGGTGGGGCTGGCAGGTGGAGTGGTGCTTAGAGTGTTGGACTCCCACATAGCCAACGCAGTTAAAGGTCTCAGACCTGGCAGCTCGAAAATCATGCTGTGTGTATATGTGCGCGCATGTGCACATGCAAAATCTCAAGAGGAGAAGAGACTGCAGTGTCTCTCTGTCTCTGGCAAATGCACACGCACTGCAGCAGAAAAAAATTCATGGGAAATATATATTATTAAAAAAATCTGTGTGTGGGGGCCGGCAGGTGGTGTGGTGGTTAAAGGTGCTGGACTCCCACATGGCTAACTGTGGTTCAAGTCCTGGAGCTGGTGGCTTTCTCTTCCTCTCCCTCTCTCTCACTGTCCCTCTCTGATCAAATTAAAGTAAATAAAGTTAAATAAAATTAATTCTTTTTTTAAAAAAAAGTGTGATTGTCAGTTTTTTTTTGGTACCTAAATAAATATTTTAAATTTTCCCACAAACTTTTTGAAATCTACTTGTACTGTGTTTAAAAAACGTAATTTTTGATTGCCTTTCTTTTTCTTTTTTTTAATGAGATTTTTGCTACAGGGCACACACACAAGAGACACAGAAAATGAGAAATCACCCCCAGGGTGGATGGCCACGCCATAATCCCTGCTCCTCCATTCTCCTGGGATCTTGGGAATGCACGCATGCGGTTTGAGTCCCGGACCTGGTGGCTTAAACTCATGCTGGGAGTGTGTGTGTTGTGTGCCCAAGGTCCCAAGAAGAGGGTGAAGAAGAAGGGATTGCGGCGTGGCCATCCCCACTGGGGGTGACTTCTCGCTTTCTGTCTCTCTGTCTTCCTGGCGAGTGCACGCCCTATAGCGAAAACGTCTCCCCGAAACAACAAACAAACTAAGTTGATGACTGGACTGCTGCCCCGACTCACACGACAGGAGGGGCGGATCGTGGGCGAAATGCCCCACAACTTCAGCTGCTGCTACCAGAATCCACAATGCACACAAGCGAGAAATGAGAAAGATTCCAGAACATGAGCCTTGGTCCTGGCCCTTCGTTCGGCCTACACCCTGTCAAATGCAGTGGCGGGGAGATAACTTTGCCCAGCTGCCACCTCAGGCTGCAAGACCCAGCCACTGTGTCTGCATGCGAGGGGACCAGCAGGCAGTGACGGCTCGGGGACCCACAGCCTGGAGGGTCCATGTGCGTGCCCACTGGGGCCTGCAGTGGCCACTCTGCACTGCCTATGCAGACTTGCTGGCCGGCACTCAGACACACGCTGCCCGTCCCACACCAAGGGTCTACGTGACAATGGGAGCAGACCAGGAGGCCGGCTGCAGGGCGGTCCAAGCTGTCCCCCTCTAGAAGAGGGGGGGAGAAACCACCAGAGAGTCCTTGAGCTTAAGGGGCCTCCAGGTCCCCTCCCATGAACATTTCCAACCTGGGAGCCGGGGGCTGCCAGCTCCGTCCCCCAGGAAGGAGAGCCCAGCACACCCCAGCAACTTCAGCCCAGAGGGCAGAGGGGACCTGCCCTCACCCCACCTAGAGTGACACATCCCAGGGCAGGAGACGGGCCCTCAAGATGATGAAGGCACGAGCTCAGACCACGCAGACCCATGGGTGGACCACAGCCCTGACAGCAGCTGGGTGTGGAGGACCCTCCTCGCCACACATTGCCCTGAGATGGCAACAGCCGTGCAGCCAGGCCTTGGCTGGCAGAGGGCCAGCGGCCTGCCCGGGGCGCCCACTGAGTGGCAGCTGGGACCATCATGGCCCCCGCCCAAGGCTCCCTGCAGCAAACAGACCTTGTCCCATTCAGCAGG